AGAGGACAGGAATTCACAGTCTTCCCATAGAAAGGATGTGACTAAAAGACGTTATTGAGGTGATCAGTCTCAGATATTTGGCTTTCACTCCGTGTGAGAGGTTCTCCATGTCTCATCTCATGTTGACCACCTTGCCCTGGAGTCTCATAATTCTGAAATAGCTTCCTGGAGGTGCTTTACCTAGAATATTCTACCTGTTTAAACAAATAAAGCAAACAAAAACATTACTGTAATTTCAAAAAGCCTAGGTACACAAATAGTCAAATTTCAGGGAGCATTTGGGAGTTACAGAGAACACTACTTTGTCTTTCAACAGTGACTACTTGATCTTGAATAATCTCCTTGCTTCTGACACCTGCAAAGCTTTTGGTTGGTTAGTTTCTATTATTTGTAACATTAAGCTTTATTTTTAAAACATTAAGCCTCAGTTTTAAAGCGTTTAAGTAAAGCAAAGCAACTTTTTGAAAGGGAAATATAGAAATTATTGAGACTCTTGTTATATTCACTAGCAAACCTTGCTATAGACTGATCTAGGTGTAGCAAGACATTGATTCTGTCAATAGTTAAAAGGAGGCATTCCAGTATTTAGCAAGGGGCAGAGGTTTGTTGTCAGTAGCCGAAAGGAGAAGAGAGCAAAATAAAAACTAAAAAAAAAATGTTTTGCATTTCGAACATTCCAAACAACTTTTTAAAGCAGCATGAAAGATTTCTTTTTTATTATCTGTTTTTAATGATAGAAAGCATTAAAAAAAAATCAAACTCATTCTGAAGGAGTCTTTGAGCACTGTCACCAGTATTTGATGACATACATTTTAGTGATGTTTTAAAACTTCCTTATAGCCTTTCCAGCAGCCTCTGAACTTTAGCTTCATTCAGGAATACTCTCTGTTCCTCTGTGATACCAAAAATAATGAAATCAAATAACTGAGATTTTGTCAGGGAGAAAACAGCTATGTAAATATTTACTTCCAAAGAAGCAGCAATCTTACATTATACTAGCAGGCCACTTTCCCTAAGTCTCTTAGGACCTGGAAAAATGATGCATACGTGAGTCAGTGTCTAGTAATGAAAATTTCAGGAATGACTGTTTCATATTTTTGTCCAGTTTTGTTTAAATCAGAATATTTATATAGCTAAGCAGGTCTAAATAGATGAAAGAAAACAAGATTGCGACGGAAATTTTAGAGATTCCAAATTATCTACATTATCATCCAATCTTACTAGGATTCTTTCAACCAAGGAAACGGAGTTTCTAAAGTAAGAGTCATGGAAGCAATGTGTCTTTTCTTTTACTTTAGCAACACAACATGTTCCAAAATGTAAAAGTCAGTAGTTGAATGCAACACAGGAAAAAAAGGCCCTGGGAATCCTCTAGTTGTAATGCCAAAATGTCGACTATGAAAATAAAGGAAAATTAAATCAACAATAAGATTTAAAAGGTTCAAATAAAAAAAAAATCACAAACATATATAAAAAAAAAAGAAAAAGAAAAAAAAGGTCCTGTCTTGTAATGTGAGTAATGGTTGACTTTTCCTTTCTTCCTAAAACTTGAAATGGGAGGTCCACATATCTTACCCATACATATGTGTCTTTTCAGTTCTGTTGAGATACCTATATCATTTTCTTTCCTGTTTTGTTTTGGTGCCTTTTGGTAGTCATGATTAACATTATTAAATTAGAAAATTGTCCCATCTTTTCCATAAGAAAATGAGCATATGCAGTGCAGAAGTGCAGAATATCATGGTAGTTGGGTTTAAGGTCCTGCGACAAGAAAGAGAAGACGGGAAAGATTTCATTGCACTGTTTCCTTGTTTTATTCTTTAACAAGTGCATATTTTGTAAGGTGGAGAAGATAGGGCAAAAAGAGAAAAACTATACAAAGTACACTGCATGGGAGATTGCAACAAAAAATCGTGGAGGTCAAGTTGCAGAAAACTAACAATTTATTCAGAAATTTGTCCCCAGATGTTGAAGGCTTGAGACTCTCTTCCGGTAAAATATCATAAATAAAGAGGTGGGTATATTTATAGATTTTAAGACCAATTTGTGATCTTTATGGTACTCTCCCCAAAGCCTTGTTAAATACACCAAATTACTTTCCTGTTCCAGTGGGTATGGATGAATCGGAACATTGCTTATGGGAAAACTTAAAGAACTAATCCGAAATGTTAAAATGCCTAGGGGTGGAAGAGAAACCATCATGCCTCTTTAGATTTTCTACAATAAGAGTCCATTTAGACTTAATCTGCTCACAAATATTTTTAAAATACTGTTAAAAAATTGTGCATTAAGAAGTGAGAGAAAGACCAAACAAAATAAACATAAAAGTTTAGTGGCAATTCAGATTAGATGCACAGGATTTGTTATACAGTTTTGTGATTTTGTATTTTATTTAAAACAGTGCACACTTTCAGTGTTGAGCAGCATGCATACCATCTTAATTTGAGAAACGTTTGCTAATGAACTTATATCATTCAGTATTAGTTTTATATTTTGTTTCATAAAGCCTCCATGAACTCTTCGAGTTATTCCCACAGGAGCAGTAATACCGTGGTATTATGTCAAAGGAAATTTTATTTCCAGTTGGTTTGGAGAAGAAGCCCAGCAGCTATCAGAATAACCTATTATCATGTGCTCACTAATGACAGTTGTTATATCTGGGACGAAATCTATTTTTTGGCATTGTTTTCCTATAAATAACAAGTTAACATTAAAAAAAAAAAAATCAGCAGAATAAAGTACCCAGTGCATACCTGTGTAGAAGTTATGATGAATGTGACTTCATTCTTTAAACAGAAGTATAATTCTGAATGCAGTTTTGTTTCCTGAGTACAGCTGTTTTCTAAAAAGAACATGCCTGGGAGAGATGTTCCTCTTAGTTATCCAGTCATGCCAGCCTGACTGATTTTGTGCTTCCAGAAGAACATGAATAACATGGCAGCAAAAACACAAGCTAGACTCTGTCATGGCTCACCCTCTAACAGCATCCCTATCTGATTTAAAAATGCAGGGTAAACACTGTCCTTAATTATCCCTTTGTAACTGCATCAGATGTTGTAGTTTGCAAAGGGATTAGTTTGTAGCAAGCAGAATCGCTATCACAGGAGTTTTGTGCCATATTAATCGTAAAGTCTTTGTAACCGACTATCCTGGGGAAATAATCTTGTATAATTATTACACTAAATTGAGTCAGCTGGACTGTCAGGCAAAAAAGTTTTAAAATGAGCTTTGTGGAAAGCTCCATTCTTTGATAAGATGACCGCCTTATCTCTGCTGACCACTTAACTGCTGTTGACAGCCTATGTAATAAGTATTAGTATAAAATTAAGACATTTCTAATCTTCATGGACTTTTCTAATAAAGACATAGAACCTGTTTTCAGGTGCAAAAGCTGCAATATTGCCTGCCTTTGAAACCATCTCTTCTGTTAACCACAGAACAAACATAATGCCCATTACAGGTTATTAGCTATTTCCAAGAGGAATGTGTCTTCCTTCCACCCGGTTTTACCCCAATTCCCAGGTGAAAAATGAAAATGATAGCTCAGCTTCTGTGTCCGTTCTGTTTTTTGTCCTCCAACAAGACTGAGAGTGCTGACAGCCTCCTGTAATAGCTGTGGCACTGTTTTTTGTTTGTTGTTGTTTTGGTTTTGGTTTTCTGTGCGCTAGTCTGTACTCCATTGCCATACAAATACATTCTTATTATCACTATTTGCTTTACATGTAGATGGTCTCTAAAGAGACTCCCTAAAGAGTGATTCAGAGATGTAGTTTTTCATACTCAGCCAGATGATAGGCTGACCCATGGAAGACCCCAAAGTAATCAAATAGATGATGGAATAAAATAGCCTTCATTCTCCTCCCTCACTGCTCCTTGCAGTTTGAATAACAGCAGAACAGGTAAAGCATTATAGAAGCCTCTAGACTCATGCTGTTACTGTTAATGAACCTTCTGTGAGAGCTACCAACACATGATTGAAATACAGTTCCTGAGATCCCTTCTACCTCAAAGATCAATAAGCCACATTAGTGTCAGAAGTATCTTTGACTTGTCTTAGTTTGTGAAACATCATTGTCCTTACAAATCATGCTTCTATGAGATTAAGTATCATCCTGGTATTTCTTCTGTCCTATGCACAGCAATCTGGCCAGTGTTTGAGAAAAGGACTCAATAAACATAAAAATATAATGGATCACAAATCAATAGATATCTGTGAATAAATAACTTGTGTGATTATAGACTGTCAAGTTTTATGGTCACAATGCTCATTTTACCCTGGTTACTGAATTATAATCATGGAGCACCTTCAGTGCAATGCCTACATTGGCACTCCTGCACCTACACTAACAAAAGCTGCCCTCAGGTGCTGGCAGTGGCATGTTCAGGCAGAGGACTGGGAACAGCTGAGTCTTGAGAAAAGTTAAAGCTTTAGTTAAGAAAGGAAATGAGAAAAGAAACAAAATGAAACGAGAAACGAGAAAAAAGGAAAGGGAAAGGGAAAGGGAAAGACATCTGTTAAAATAAGCCACCTGCCATGAATGAAATAGTTCCTTACCTCCTGGGTGTGCCTTTGAGCAGCCTGGATAGCTGCCCCGAGCAGTACAGATGCTGCTTGCCCCAGTCCCTATTTTTAAGGTCAAAATGCTATACATTTGAAGAAAAGGGCTAAGTGAGCGTGTTAACAGATAGGAACATACTATCATTAGACCCAGGAAATTTAATTCATGATCAACCTCAGGATGTCAGCAGTGCTTAATTAGCTTTTCCCTAGTTAAAATCCAGGGAAAACAGTGAAAAAAAGCAGTGTCAGCTGCAAATATGTTGGTCTCCGACAGAACTTTCTCAGACCTGCAATGAGCAATTGGAAATATTTGTAGAGTAAGGAAGTATTTACTGTATAGATATAAGCCATAAGCCATTCTGCCAAAAGGGGAAAAAAAAAAAAAAAGACTTCTTCTCTAAGACTGTTTACTAGTGTTTTGTTTGTGGTTCCTTTGCAGGTGTTGCTGCTTTGGATTCCAGCATTTCTGGGAAGATTGGTTTGCGGGCAATTATATATTATTTTTGCACTACTGCCCTTGCCGTAATTCTAGGTACTGTAATACTGTAATTGTTAACCTCCTTGGCACTACCTAATTACAAATGTACACAGTGCAACAGTACTCATTTTCCAAAACTGCGTGGGGAGGGGAGGCAAGAATCATATGAAACATCATAACATGTTGATAGCAAAGAGAAGATGTCTTGCTGTTCACATTGGGCTCAGTTCATTTTCCCTATAAAGCTGCTATGGCTTTATAGGGAACTATGACATAAATTTCAGCTCAAAACAGATGTCTGCTGTCTAAGTTTTAGATACAAAGTGAATTTCCTCCAAATGAGATGTTGTAACTGGTTCTCAGATACAAGACTGTATAATATAGTACTGAGAAACATTGTGTGAAGTAAAAGGCAAAAGGCAATTCAAAATATCACCGTGAAAAATTTGCAAAACACTTCATCTGAAGTCCAGCTGAAGTAATTTGCCCTTCTTAGTGAGCAGTGACTTAGTAGCACAGACGTAAAAATAAAGCTAGAATGGCCAAACCCAGTGGCAATGCCGCAAGTTGCTCTTGTTTTGGAAGAAGCCACCCATTTAAGGATGCTAGCTGGGGACTTCTCTTTCTGAACAGCCCTGTGGGTGTCCCTGGGAGTATCACTGGGTGGTCAGACTTCAGCCACACAAGATACGCTAAGACTTTCCAGAGTTTGCACTGCAATCTTTTTTTTTCATTCTACAGGGATTGTGTTAGTTGTGATCTTTAAACCTGGAACATCTCAAAGAGCAGAAGAGATAGTGAGAGTGGGCAGTACCCCTGAGGTCACTACTGTTGACACTTTGTTGGATCTGATCAGGTGATAATTTTTTTTTTTTTTTAGTCATTTCCATACCCATATTGCAGAGGCCCAAGAAATAAATGCATACACATTTGCAAGTGTAATATGATATAAATGCTCTCCAATATTGTTTGGAGAAGGCGCTGTTGGAGACAGCATCATAACAACCGATATTATGTTTTTCTATATATTTATATTCAACATATGTAAGAGCCAAATACAGATGATCTTGTAAAGATAAAGCTAAATCATATGTTTGTACAAGCTACTGTAGCCTTCAAAGGACTTTAGCATAAAAACTTAAAACGTTGGGATATTTTGAGAGATCTGGAATGGAGATAAAGACTCCTGCTTCAGTATGTAAATTGTCGTCTTCTGCACTGGGCCATAGATTCCATAATTACCCACATACTTCTGCTTTCTGCAGTCTTCCTTTGCATTTGAATTGGCCATTGGAAAGGAGGAGGCAAGCAGTTGGATTTCAGTATTTCTGCACTGATTTTCTAAGTTTTCAGTGCATTAAATGGTTTTTGATCCTCGAAAAAACACACAGGAATCATCCGTCATCCAAGATGAATTCAAACTGCAGTATAGGACAACAAAAATCTATTCTTCTATAGCTAAATCTATTTCAGCACAATGTTATAAGGGCTGTTCTTCTTCTTTCTAAGTTATACATGATAAATCCTATAAAATTTACTTTAGATAGTCTCTTGTATTTTTTGTGTAATTAATCAGTGGAGAAGAAGCTATGAGTTCAGGAGCTGGTCAAGGAAATATCATATATTGAAAAATGAGCCTAAAAATTCTACAACAGGAAAACAATCTCCTGGTCTTTCAAAGTCCTGAAACCCTGTTTCTGCTAGACTTCAGATCTGACAGCACTAACTACACTGCTTTCTGGATAAGGCAACATTCTCTAATCTGTCTTTCAACACTAGATCGTATCATTTTTTTAAAAAAAACTCCTTGTTCCTAGTATTCTCCAATGTTGAAATGTCTGTAATTTCTTTAACAGGAATATGTTTCCAGAAAACCTCGTCCAAGCCTGTTTTCAACAGGTAAGTTTGAACATCCCTGTTTGTTACTGTACTTTTCATTGCTAACTTAATTCTTCATAATTAATGTCCCCCCCAAAACACACCAAGTTTTTCTATGCAAAAGTCTGTATGAATTATTTATGAGAAGCCCAGGAGACTCTTGAGTTCACGCAGAACGACTTTTCTTAGGCATCTTCATTTCCTTTCCATTTGGATTATACTCTGTTCTCAATTCATCAACCCTTAATCATCTCTTGCAAAAAGACAGCACTGAGAAGCTGGATGCCAAAACTTAGCAGTGTATTAGTACACAGGTTTTTCCCCTTAAGAACAGGCAAAGCTATAAGAAGCATGTTGTTATGATCTGCAGACGTGTTCATAAAAACCCTCAGTGTCTGGTGAAATTTAGATAACTCAACCCTCACTCTGATGTGTCTTTCATCTAATGTCCATTGTTAGACCTGGTGATTCATCTTGAAGAAGAGATAGCCAGATGTTAGAATCTGTTCGAGACATCTCTGAGATTTGGAAAATGAAAAAGGAAACTGCTGCCCATATAGCAGTCCTGTTTCAGATTCAATCACGTTTATCCATAAATAAATCCGTTTTTGAGATGCTCTCTGCTTCCCTTTTTTTCCCTTCTGCAGCAGTTGCCTACCAGTTGCACTGAGGTTTGTATGGGAGATAGCTAACCTATCACAGGAAATGGTGTTAACTGTCTTCTGCACACAGCACTGAGTATATTTTTGGTTTTAGTTTAGTAAAGTTAACAAAACCTTCTACACATTTTTTGCATGTTAATTACTTTAAGAACAAATCTTCTGCCTTGCTGAGGTACAGAATCCTGTCCTAAATTTCTCTGAAAGACCAGAGAAAAGACTCTCTTTTTAGAGGCTACGTTATAACACTGTTGCTGTAATTATCTTCCAAGCAGGATGCTAGAGCATTTGCCTGGAGGCAATGAGGCCTGTAACACTTTCACTGTTTACCTGTGCAAGAACCATGTCCTCCAACTGCTTGTTCCAGCAGAAAATGGCCTTGTCATTATCAGAAGCTTTATCTCATCCCCCCAAAAACTGTCAGACATCCAGGACCCTCAAGAGCCTGATTTATAGTGTATTTTCTTTGCTTTGCTTCATTTAGTATCTTAACTAGAGAACCATGATGATTCACATTCATCTTTCCCTTAGTGTCTTTCTAACAGTGCTTTTGTCCACTCTTCAGTTTCCTCATATTTCTAAATAACTCTTCTGTTTTTTGAAAAAAATCTTTCAGTATAAAACCAAACGTGAAAAAGTGGATGTTATGAGTGGTGTGGAAAAAAATGGCTCTGTTCCTAGAGAAGATATTGTGGCAATTGTCATGACGTCACAGGTTTCAGAGGTGAGAACTTTATAGATTGTTTTATTTCTGTAAAATCTACATAGGTAGAATTAGACTGACATTTGGTTTAGCTGATAGGTTAGTGTCTCAGAAAATGAAGGAAATGCCACATAGATAAGCTTTATCAAGGAGATAAAACTTGCTAAGTAAATGCTGAAGGTGATTTCGAGGACCTTCAGTTAGATTTCAGGAAAGCAGATGACTCCACATCAATTAAACAAGTCAAAGATAATAGGAGATGTGGGGAAATAATTCATATATACATCCGTTATGGTATAAGCTCATGCGCTATAAAGTTACTGAACACAGTCTTTTGGAGAAGCTGGGTATATATTCACAGTTGTTTAACTCGCAGTTTATATTATCAGAAGATGTTTAAGCAGCAGGCATTGCAGAAAGAAAAGAACAAAAAATAATACAAAAATATTTGAAATGGAAAACAAAACAATGGAAAGTATGTTATTAATTAATAGCGTGATTGTTGCTCTGCAAAAAAAAAAAAAAAGCCTAGGAAGGGAAGTAAGAAGAAATTCAATAGCATTATGAATATAGAACGATGAACAATACAAATTTCATCTCATCATAATGAGAGCATGGGAACGCGAGCTAAATGAAAGGATGTTAGTTAAATCCCAAAGCAGGATGCAGTAGAGAATCACACACTCAGTGAATAATTCTCCTTCATCTATTCATTTTGCATTCACACAGAGAACTGTGTATTTTGTAGGATTTTTATGTGATATGCTTCATATTCTGCTGTTAATTATGCAATATTGTTGATTTCAGCTGAACAATAGATTTTTTACTGGGGGCAAAATTGGACACTCTTGTCCTAGTTCTCAGACAGTGGACAATTTTTCTTAAGTCCAACCACAAAAGCTTGTGTTGCACAGAAATGACTACAAGGGTTCTACATCCATGTTTTATTCTCCACAGTAGGGAGTAGCTATTTTATATGCTGAAGTTATGACTCAGGATGCCTAGGTTTTGCCATTCTCTCTGTGAGAAATCATTTGAAAGGGCAGCATAAATTAAGCATGCTTTATCCAGTGCTAGGATTTTGCCAGGTTCTTGCATAATTTAAAATACAGAGATTGTAAAGGCAATTTAACTACCTTCATGTGACCACTCAACGCTGTAAGAATTAGAATAGATTGCCTGGGGAGAAGATGTCTGTATCCTTTCATGGGGAAACCTAAATGTATTTTTATTTTAGCTCTCTAAAGTAAATTCAGTGTTTTCAGATGGCAACTTTTTTTCTCTCTCTCTTTGATCCAATCTACAGAACAAAACCCAAGAATACAAAGTTGTGGGCATATATTCAGATGGCATCAATGTACTGGGCTTGATCATCTTTTGTCTTGTTTTTGGAGTTGTTATTGGGAAAATGGGAGAGAAAGGACGAGTGCTGGTGGATTTTTTCAATGCACTGAATGAAGCTACCATGAGAATAGTTCAGATAATCATGTGGTAAGTCCAAGGACATACTAGCATTTTCTAATGCCTCTTTAAGTGGATTTTGTCATCGAAATTGTCAGAGCAGACTCCTTTACGTTTTTTTTTTGTATAATGCTTTGCAGAGAGAAACTTTGAAAGGAAAGGTGGTAAACAGTTTTGTCTGTACAAAAATTGGATCCTTTTGAGGAAAGCGGAGATAAAGCTCCTACTTACTGTATTAAAGATAACGGTCCCACTTGGACACAGGAAACTTCAGTTGTTCAAACATTCTCCCTCAGGTTTTACAGCAAGCCAGTACGTCTGAATGTAGTTTGAGGACTATAGAAGCATCACTGTCTATATTCCCTTCTCAATTTTGAACACAATTCAATGAAACAACAACTTCTAACTTCTAACAAATAGCCATTAAACTCACATATTAGCTGTCCTTGAAGCTGAGTTGTTTTAGAAACAGAAGTAGCACAAGCCACAGCACAGACCCTGAGATCCTGTAAAACAGTGTAGCTGTGCAGGGCTAGCTGCAGGCTTTTGCAGCGTTTGGAGAGATATAAATTAGTCCGTGCAACTTGTCTAGTGCTGGCCAGTGGTCCTGTCCTCAGCTAAACTACAGCTCTATAAAGCAAACTGCCTCACAGTGCAGCAAATCAGCCCCAGCAGCATCCCAGCCTGCTCCCCTGCCCTGAGCGCGAGGATCCCACACATAAGCTGACTGCAGCACATGCAGATTTAGCTCTCAGCCCCACAAATACTTTCACATCCAAGTATGGCCTAGACATGCATAACATTTTCTGCAGTTAGACAAACCATGCACAGTCTCTCCCAAATTGTCTGAGTTCTGTGACTCCAAGTCACACAGAATAAATAAGTTTTGGTTTTCTAATCTCTTTTCATCACCACTGTTGTAATCTTGCTGCAAGTGAATAAATTCAATTGTGTAATAGAATATCAGAGAAAATTGTTACCCCTTTTAATAATTTTTACTCTGCAAGTTGTTGTATACTGATGAGCACACAGCATTTCTAAGAATGTGTTTTTAATTGCTTTACTTTTGTTTTCTAGGTATATGCCACTTGGTATCATGTTTTTAATTGCCGGGAAGATAATAGAAGTTGATGACTGGGAGATCTTTCGTAAACTGGGTCTTTATATGGCTACAGTATTAAGTGGGTATGTCATTTCCTAAAGATGAAATTAAATGTAGGTCATTTTTGCAGCTCAACTGTTTGTGATTTAATTATCCACAACGACCAGACTTTTCCACTTCAGAGACAAAAATTGCCGCCGATGAACGTTATGTGAGGCTGTTTTGCATTTTTTGTTTTAGAAAGTCACTTGCATTCCAAAAAAAGAGTCTGTTCTTGTTCTCATTATTTCATTTTCCTCTCAGCTTGATGCTGAAACAGATAAGATTATTGTATTTTTCAGAATGTAGCGTTTCTTTTAGATTCTAGAAGTTGAAAATGGTGAGGAGCTCGGTTATAGCCCACTGAAACCCAGCCAATTGAAACCATTTAATCATAGAATCACAGAATTGTTATGGTTGGAAAACACCTGTAATGAATGGTTATATCAGAATCTCCTGGGAATCTGTGAGCCAAAAATGTACCAGCATAGACTCAGATTCACTGCAGAGCACAGATACGCTGCAAAGGCACTGAACTTTAAATTATAGTTGTAAAAGAAAATGACCCTCGCTCCCCTCAACAAAGAGTAGCTAAAACCCAAGGAGCCCCTCAGAACTGCTCTGTAGTCATCCTCCTTCTAGTCAAAGGTACCTGGTGAAGCTCCATAAGCAGCGTGTGCTTCCAGCATAGCACAGCCAAGCATCAAAGCAGATGTCATATCCTGAGTCTAGGCCCATGAGTGTAGAACAGTCAGGAGTGGCTGGGAGGACCGTGCTGTTACACCTACACAAACCCTTTCACGCATGTGGACCTTATGGATAAGAAAGGGCAAATTAACTGCTCCAGGTGATACAGTTTGTAATGCTCGATCATTATACAGCTGTGGATAAATATCCTACAAATGACCCTTTGGAAAGATAAATTGATATTACAGGCTCAATAAGTTAAATGCATTTACATTTCTATTTCCAATTCAGTGAAGCATAGCTTCTGGCTGTTTTGGTTCATTGCCTCAGCATCCACTCCTGTAATTCTTTCAGCATACTTAGGATTTATTCGTATTTTGTGTACGGGCTAGATCCAAAGTTGTTCAAGACCTTCTTCGCTCACCACCAATACTTAATACATATGTATGTTATCTTTCAAAAATAATTCACAGTTTTTTTGACAATCAAGAAAATAATGATATGATTGTTTTAATTGCAAACTTCCCTATAAATAGTCAAGAAAGATGTGTTTTTGCTTGTTTGTTTGTTTTTTCTTTGTTTTATATACATATATACTGATATGTTTGGACTAGTTGTTCAAAACTCATTTGAAAAGTAATCATTTTCTAAGCAGATACTACAGCTTCAGAAATAGCACTGAATCATGATTCTTTCAAAATACTACAAGTTGAGGTTTTCTGTTTTAGATCTGACAAGGTTTATGGTTTTTCAGCTAATAACAGTTACTATTTGTCCTGTGACAGGACATGTGTGAAGACACAGTCACTTCTCCAGAGTACTTTGCAAAGTGAAGTCCCAGCACATATGCTCTGTCATTTAGCTGATACCTGTGTGCAGGTGCAGGTAGGACAGATACAGTGATTTTTGAGTGGGTGTCCAGCTTTGCATCCTGAGAGTGAAGCAGCCACTGTTCAACAGAACCCGATTACATATTCCACAGTTTTCCCAAAACGCTGCTTGGACAGAGGTCTGCAGCCTTTCCATCTCTTACACAGTGCTTCACATGCCACAGAGAAGGGCAAACAGCAGCACTTTTCCTTCAAGGCTGCCCTGCAGGGAGGGCATGTTGTACTCGACTCACTGTAGAGACTTTCTCCTTCCTCTTGGTGTGTGAAAGATGTGTCCCCTCTGCTGTGTTGGGTTCCTGCCCTCACCTGTTTCCACACTTTGCATGCTCTTCTTCATCCTTAGCCACCTCTGCTGCAGTGCTGATTTTTATTGGCATCTTCTGCAGCTGTCTCTCTCTTTACCACCACCTTTAAGCATGGTCCTTAGAAGTACATGTCATCTTACATATTTTTCTGGTATTCCCCGTGGAAAAAGGATATTTGGGAGTTTAGGGGTGCCTCATCCTCCATTTCACTTCCCTGCCTTCCCTTTCCATCTCATCTACTAACCTACCTTCTTCCCAACTTCAATTATTCCTATCTGCAGCCCATCTAGCTCTCACCCAAGTGTCCACAAAATGTCTCAGCCCTTGGGTCTCATTAGGTCACCAAGAGGTAACAGTCACTCTCCCTCCAGGCCCCCTCACCCTGCCTTTCCTCTGCTTGGCCACTAAATATCCTAAGCCTCTTGTTTCGCTGATGGCAGCACCAGGACAGGGACGTGACAGCAGTCAAGGAGGAGAGATCAGGAGGCCTAGAACGAATATGAGAGGAACCTCAGCCTGAGGAGAAAAAGGGAAGCTGCGCTGAGGAGGTGCCTCTGATCTTCTCCCTTGCCTCTTTTGAAAGCAGCACAGAAACTGAATATCCAGGTGCTATATAAACAGCCAGGTTGGGATTCTGAAGGATGATATCCTTCCTATTTTAGAGGGAATGATCTGAGAATTTCTGTTTTCAGTTGCAGATTAGAATATTTGCTATAAAAATTTCTGCTGCTTTCTGGGAGTTGTATTTCATGCATGTAGATTAATATTATAATTCATTTTGTGAAAAAATAATATATGTACAACTATATTTATTTTGTGTAATACTGAATTCTTGCTGATGGTAATAAAGTGCAGAACTAAGATTTTAAAAATAACTTCATTTGAAAGTCCTTAGGCTCCTAAATCATACAGATGTACCTTAAAATTTTAGCCTATACATTTTGTTAAGAGATATATATATATCATATAAATATATATATATCAACAACACATATATCATTACTAATATTTTCTTGTATTTGTTCTTGTGAATTCAGTTTGGTCCCATGTAGTACTGTGTGAAAATGTTAGGTTTATTTTTAGATTTTTTTACAGAATTTCATTGATAAATGGTGCAAGCTTTCATTTACAGTCCACTATAACCACTATTTTTGTTCACATAATGAATGAAACTGTTAATACTTATTGTTTTTTAAAAAATATTTTTCTTTCCAAGGAAACAACTATCTATTTGGGTTTTTTTTAGAGGGAGAGGTTGTTCTCTTGTGAATTTCTGTAATGTACTGGCTATTGCTGTCTCAGTGTCTGGATTTGGCAGAACAAATGGTACCATGATTTATCAATATCCTTATCAGTTGCTTTGAAATCATAAAGCCCTATTACGACATAGTAATGTTCCCAAGAACATCTTGTTAAGACACAATAAAAATTCAAAGGTTGTGTATGTCGCAGTTCTGGACTTGGTGTTTCCAAGCTGTGACAATTTATTTTCTGAAGAAGCTATGTTAACAGACTTAATTCAAATGAAAGGTAATATTTGAAAATACTATTTTGGCATCTTACAATATGAAAGATGGTAAGGCTACATATTTGTATGTTTGTACAGTCTGAAATACTTCGATGTTTTTTAATGAAAAAAAAAAAAGAATTGTATTTGAATCGCAAAATCACACAGAATCACAGAATGGTTGAGGTTGGAAGGGACCTCTAGCGATGATCTAGTCCAATTCTGCTGCTCAAGCCGGAACACCTAGAGAACACATATACCTAAGCTTACACAATATTCCACAACATAAAAGCATGTGTGTGGGAGTTATCATTTTCTTTCAAGCTTCTATAGAAGGATTCATCTGTCCCTAACTGGACACTGTATTTACCTTTAATTCCCAATAGGCAGATAAACTTAGAACAATGATTTGGCTTGTTTCACTGATTTGTTTCTAGTCTGAATTGTAAGGACTTGACAAGAGAGTGGGGTGTTGAAACATGTGTCCTCTGCATAATTTTCTCTACTTTTCTCATTTTTATCAGTGTATTTCCAATATATCAATTAATCACATCTGCTGCTTTAGAAGCAGAGGCAAGTAACAATCTCTCCCTGTCCTCTGATAGAATAAATAGAAAAGCCGTTGCCTGCAATTTATTTAGACAGGATATTCTCTGTAGTTTGAACATAACTCTGTAGATTGAACATAACGATCTTTAAAGTCACAAGAAATTTCACACCTGGATCTGATGGCATCTCTCACCATCTTATTAAAGGTATGCAGTGAAATAGATCCAATGTTTAAATAGTCCATTTTCTTTTGCAGACTTGCAATCCATTCCACTGTAATTCTGCCATTGATCTACTTGATAATAGTAAGGAAAAATCCTTTTCGGTTTGCTATGGGGATGGCTCAAGCACTTCTGACAGCCCTCATGGTTTCTTCCAGGTAAGCAGGAAAAAAAATGTATTTTATGTAATGTTATTAGTAGTAATTACATGTTTGTTTTTTTTTTCTCTGATTTTACTGCTATTTTGTTACCTACTATAATTTCACCCGGACAATTATAAGTCCCTGAAAGCTAAAAGCTAAAATACTACTTTCCTCATTAGTTCTGGAGGACCAAAAAAGGAACTATGGATTGCAGTGGAATCACAGTTGCCTTACACCAGACTTGTGACTTTCCTTCCTAGTATAAATTCAGGACATAATTCTTTGGCCGTTTATTTCATTACTCACAATTTAAGCTCTTACGGTGTTTCTATGATTACACACATCATGAAGATTTTGCTATGTAGACGATAACTCCATCTTTGTTCTTCCTTCCCTTAATTAGAAGAGGTAGTGAATGTTTCTTAGCTTTAAGAGCAAACTTCATAATCAAGACCTCATACTGCAGCCTTTCTGGTTGCCTTAGATCTCCATTTGAGCATTAGAATAGATCTTTCTTATAAAGAGAATGGGACACACTTTTTCTGGGCTTATTTTATCTATTTATCTGTATTTCAGTTCAGCAACTTTGCCTGTCACTTTTCGCTGTGCAGAAGAAAAGAACTTTGTTGACAAAAGAATAACCAGGTTCGTCCTTCCGGTTGGAGCTACCATCAACATGGATGGCACAGCTCTCTATGAAGCAGTGGCAGCTATATTTATTGCACAGCTGAATGACTTAGAACTGGATATTGGCCAAATAATTACCATAAGGTGAGACTAAAGCCATCACAGAAATTTTCCTTGTGTTTTTTTTTTTTTAATGAATGGCACATTTGCTTTGGATACGTCTTCAGGAAGTTGAAACTATCATTCGCAGCACAGAAAATAACAGACACATTCCCACTTCTTGTTCCAAGGCCGTGCCTGTGCGACCTGATGAGGAGCTGGCCAGGGCCAGCAGCTGGTATATAACACACTGCTCTGGATATTGACCTCATTCTCTTAGAGCAAACACTTGCAAGCCCAAGTTTGTACAACAAAAGTACTTTTTCCTACTTATTCCACAGTGATAGCTCTCTTTCCC